ATCCGATGTGGTGCTAACGCTGTTACGCTCTCCAGTGCCATTGGGGGGTCTACGTATTCATGTCTTTGGTTTTAGGATCTGGGAAGGCTGTGTTGACTTAGCGTCCAGGAGAGAGCAGAGCATGTCTCAACTAGCTAACTGCTAGCATTAGCAACTTTAAAACATGGCAGGACTCTTTCAGGCTTGTGTTATTTCTGGAGATAGAGGATGAACGTTGCAGTACAAAACAGTCACTGTAAAAGTCACATTGCTGTCAGCCAATCAGAGGCAACCTATCTCCTTCAGCTAAATTTTACTTCCTGAAACAGGAGAACCAGAGCTTTTTTCCAATGTAAGAGACTCACCTGGTATTCATTTATGACAGAGACCCCTGCAAATGTATTTTTAAAAAAGCACTGAATGAGATTTTGAAGATAACAGGCTGTTGTTAGCCACACCCACCAACTCCTGATTGGCTGCTATGAAGTGAGAAGCTCTCAGGTCTGAGAGGGGATTGGATTAGTGCTGTTGCTTCTTCAGCCTGAGAGGTGTGAGGGGAATAAATATGTGATGTTTATACAGAAACAGAAGAATAAAAACTGGGGATGCACCAAGACTTTAAACTTTCACAAAAGTTTCCTGGCTGAGAAACATGGAGCAGGTAGACGAGGCTGGCAGCAGAACTGGACAGCAATGCATGAGTATTATCTCACTATCTGAGGTTGGACATGTGGACATTCTGTCTTCCTTCTGCCAAGGCAAAGGGTTGTCCTACAGTCCACGTAGTTGTCCACCAAAGGTTGGACACCCAAAACAACCAAAACGTTCCTAATTCTGCTTGTTACATCACTGTGGAAGCAGGAAACTCATCTGCACTCTCAAACATCCCTCGGTCACACCTGTCAGGTGCACACATGCACACATCATCTCCACCAACCCTTCAAGGGTCGAAGTTGGGCTGGTAACATGTCTGAAGCTGCAGCAACATCAGGAAACCAGTGCTGTGTGTACTGATGGTGCGTCCTTCTGCAGAGAGCTGCAGGAAACACCACACGGATGAGGATCTCTACGGCGATGGCAGCAGCAGATCATCGATAACAACACAGACTACAGCAGCCGCATCAATGTGACTTCAGACCACAAAGGGAACCATCCTCATCATTAAGAACGTCCAGCTCTCTGATGAGAGGGAATTCTTCTGCCAGGTTAACGGACTGGCAGCTGGGAATGCTGAGAGGAAAACCCACCTCAGAGTGTTTGGTGAGGCTTCCAACAAAACACAGAAAGCTCCCGTTAATATTTAGTTATAAATCACTAAAGTATCATTTTCCCGACGCAGCTCCTCCAGCGGCTCCAGTCATCGAGGGCGTCCTTACTGGAATATCAGTGACCAACTCAGTTCCATCCAAGGTGGGCCCGGTTGATCCAGATTTTTATGTTTCATTCAGATGAGATGAGAACATAAAAATTCATGAAAACTACCTCCTTTCAGGTGGCGTCATGCGAGGCTCAAAATGGCTTCCCAAAACCCAACATCACCTGGTACAGGAACGGTCTGCAGCTGACGCCTTCGTCAGGATGTGAGTGTAAACATTTACTCAGAAAATAGTATTCTGGGAGCTCGAGGGCTGCTTGACCTGCAGGATTGTCGATATAAAGCAGAATTAGGGCTGCACGATATTAGGAATACCTGCGATATGCGATAACAGTGATTAATATTGCGATGACAATATTTCTTGCTATAAATAAAAACTTAACTTAAAAATGACAAAAAAAATCATAACAATGAAAAAAAGCAAAAGATGTGAGGAAAGGGAAAAGAAATGGACAAGAAAAGGCACCATGGATCCCGGGAAAAGCCGAATCAGCAGAAAGAGCTGAACAAAGCTAACTCAGGTGTTTGCTAACCATCAAAATTAAGTGTCGGGGGCGGGCATCTAACCTATGAGAACCCACCTCATTGGCCAAATGGGTGAAGAGCTCTTATTTGATTTGTTAAAAACATCATGCTTCCTTTTGACAGAATGCGATATGTGTAGCAAACATTTGAGCTGACCACTCATTACGATATTTATCTGTTCTTTGCGATATGCATATTGCGCATGCTGATATCGCGATAACGATATATTTGCGATATATTGTGCTGCCCTAAGCAGAATTGTATAAAAAATGTGTTTAGGTTTTTTCTTTTGTCAACTTGTCCAAAGATCACATATTTTTTGAATGATCAAAGGAAGTGCAGGGTGTTTGAAGCTGGTGTTATGTTGAAATGTGTCCCTGCTAATACGTGATTTTTGATCAAAGTCAAGAGAACAAAATATTCAGCAGTTGCACAAATAGCTGTAGGATTTTAGGATTTTCGAACAGTTCTTTATATTTTTGTCACACCAAGATGGGTTGTTCCTCAGAAATGTAGTCAGATGTTAATAAATGCATGTAAATGGAGGATGTTAGCATTCTGACAGCCTGCTCAAGCAGAACCTCTCAGGCTAGTTGTGGTCATTTAGCTGTCCCCTCCAATGATTGCAGATGTTAACGTTCTGACTCTGGTGACCCGGGAGTCTAGTGGGTTCTACTCGGTTCAGAGCACCCTGGAGTACAACGTCGTTAAGAAGGACAAGGACTCACATTTCTCCTGTGAGGTCATCTTTTTCTGTCCCAGGAGCCATCAGGACGATGGAGTCCCACAGCATCAACATCACTGTTCACTGTGAGTTTTCTGAAGACGTCTAGTAACTCCTTCATTTGTTCTTCTTAAGGTTGTTGCGCTCGATTATTACTGCCTGGTTCTATTTTGGGGGGTTGGTTTACTTTTACCTAACCAAAGTTTGTTTTAATACACCTTTTGTTACTAATGAGTTTTATTATCTCTACATGTTTTCATACACATAGGTTTGAGTCCTTCCCTATGTTTTTGATTTAAACAGCTGATTGCATGTTTCTTTGATGGAGCCTGTTGTTGTTTTACTCTGTAACAGAAGCTTCTGGAACTGGAATATTCATTAAACACCCACGTTGGAAATGCTATAAGCAGCAGCAGAGCATCCTCACGCCTCCAAAACGATGCCAGATAGAAGTTAAAGGTTCCGATTTTTATTCATCGCGGGAGGATGTCAAGGCCGTTTCATCTTGAATTGCCTGTGTCCTGCTGATTTGCATTTATTTGAATATTTGAAGAAAAAAAACTCTGCAAGTCGTGCAAATGAAATTCAGCTCCTCTTCACAAGAAAAATTAAGCCAGAAATAATTAGGATAAGAAAAGGATTAAAGTTAAGCTTTTAACTCATTCGCTGCCAGTGTTTCTCAGTGTTTTTACAGTTTTTTAAGAGCCACAGAACGTTGTGCGCTAGGATGATGTCGATGCCAAAAGACGCCAAAGCGGAGACTCACCTCATCAGGAAGAATCCGCACATTTTGAGCGTTATCCATTCTTTTATAATCCGTTGTTGAATTGTGATCAGCAGAAGCTTTTCCAGTTCACGCCTCACTTTTTTTACAGCAGCGGCCCAAAACGATCTCCTAACACATGGATGTTCTGCTTCCTGATCATGTGACATGTGACATAGGTGGATGAAGATCGGCTTTAGAGCTGAGAAGTTTGTTCTCACGGTGCGGGGGCTCGTCCGACGCCCACACAGTAAAATACCATAAATCCTCTAATATTAGCCTGTATTCAATTAACGGCCGGGTATCACATTTTGGCCGGTGTCGGAGTCGGCGGAGATGAATAATGGCCGGAATTTTATTGTGGCCGGGTGGAATGTGGTAACAAGCAAGTACGGGGGGGCGGTTGTGTCATCGTCTCACTTTTGATTTGCCAGTGATAGACCGCGAGGGTAACTTTAACCGTGCGGAGACGAAGAGGAGGCGAAAATTTGATATCAAGTTCTGATTATGCTGCAGAACACTCTGGGGAGCAGTAGCAGGGGTTGTATGAACTAGTCACTAGTCGACTTCACCGCTCTATAGTGACTTGTTATGCCTGTCATCGACTAGTCGCTGTCACGTGATAATGACCGGCAAGATGCAGTCCACGGAAAAGACAGCAGCCTGCTGTCAGCAGGTGACAAGCTCCTGCGCGTCGGGAGGCGACACGCTGTGCCAGAGCGTCGGTACTGACACCCGCCGTAAAACGGACATTTAACCAAACTGTGACGTTTACCCTCTTGCAATTTAACCTTCCCCTCACCCCCATCCTAACCTTAACCAGCTTGCACATGCAAAGCTCTGATTGTTGACGCGCTCCAGACATCTGCGTCCTGAGCACGGCCACAGTAACATTATCAAATCAGGTGTCGCCACCTCAAAAACTAATTTAACACGCGATCGTTCATGTCGGCTCATTTCCTTTTATGTTTTCTTTCTTTTATTCTTTTGTTTGTGCCTGATGTTTTTCGCTGCTGTGGAGCGGGGCGCATCACCTGTTTTGTCCTCTGTGACACACCTAACTGATGTGGCCGGCGAGCACTCCGCTGTTTCTGCGGTCGGTAGATCTTTTAGAACTGCAGTTCAAAGGTAACTCATGAGGTGAATATATATGAACCCAGGTAGCAGTTTCTCTTTAGGATTGAGAGGAGATGCAGGAAGATAATAAACAGGCAGGACAGAAAAATAGTCAAATAAAAACAAGTTAGTTTTTGTACCTGCTGGTTGCAACAAACAGACACCATTGAAGGTAATCAGAAGTGAGGAACAGAAAATGAAATAATTATTTTAATGTTTAGAGCAGCAGGAACTCCGAGAGGCTGCAGGCGCATCAGTGAGTTTGCGGCCGCTGCGCAGGGGGGGGGGAGAGGGCTGAAGCAGGGGGGGGGGGAGAGGGCTGAAGCAGGGGGGGGGGAGAGGGCTGAAGCAGAAACTACCGTTGTTAAAAGAAATGTGTTTAACTTTGAAAATGTGGGCGCAATTTTAATTGTCAAAAACTCCAGCGAACCATTAGTTCATTTTGCTCAAATAGAAATTGATGCCTGCCTCTAATACTGGCCCTCCTTCCAATAAAGGCCTGGAGCTTGATGAGCTTGAGTCAAATACAGGCCCGGGCCTGTATTAGAGGATTTACGGTAATGCCAATGACGACTAAAGTGAATGTGTTAAAAGGGATATTTTGGGCATTTTTCTGAGTAGAAATGTATAAATAGTTAGTAACTTGTCTTAACTGGCGTCCTGAGTGGTGAGTACCACTCCAATCTCTAAAAATGTACGGCTGCTCATAACAAGCTTATTTTTATTAATTTGGCAGAAGTATTAAGAAGTTAAGGTGCTGTAAAGCTTTAGAAAAGCGTGTTGCACTGTTTGATATGAAAAGCTGTTTTATAATAGCAGCAACAGTTTGGTCCATGCTTTACTAATGTTACCCCTCACTAATGCGTCTAACTCGTTTTCTCCAAACGTAGGCCATTCAGGAACAGGATAATCGTGATGTTAAACATCCCCCAAATGCTTCAGTCATCCCGAGTAGGAGCTCTTAAATTTACATTTTAATTGCTTTAGAGGGGTTTTGCTGTGTGTGTGTGTGTGTGTGTGTGTGTGTGTGTGTGTGTGTGTGTGTGTGTGTGTGTGTGTGTCTGCAGACCCCAGCACCATGGTGGAGCTGTGGAAGGAGTTGCCCCAGGGCCTGGTCAAAGAGGGGGATACTGTGCAGCTACGTTGCCACGGAGACGGCAACCCCCCATCGCCGTTCATTTTCACCAGAGAACAAGTAAGAATGGAGGGTCTTTTCTCATCCTAGAAGTCCCAGAGAGAGAATGAGTGACGCATAGGAGACATGTAGGGAATGTTTTTGATATGCAGAGCTAACAGGGCCCCATGTAGACACGAGTGTGCGTCCTGCTCTATGAAGACGCTGTCAGCTATGACCTCGCAGGCCCAGACCCAGCTCTCAGACCGGAGGCTACAATGATGGGGATCATGAGCAGGGCTTATTCCCATGTCAGACGCAGTCATTGTGTGTTGAGAACACAAAAACTCAGCTGACTGCTGTCTGACGGTTTCCTAATTGGCCAGTCTCCCACCTCGTTAGTGGTTTATATGACACCGACATGAGAGAGTTATTCTAGGTGCCATGAATGCCTAAATAGGGAGCTTGTGGAATAAAAATATGAAGACCTGTGATGTAAACCTTTACCAGTTCCTTTTGGACGAGTTGATCTGATGTGAGCGGATCTGTTGCAGGAGCCGGATGAGGACTTGGAGAGCAGCGGGAATTTGTTGATCCTGTCGCCGGTGTCAAGAAAAGACAGCGGCCTCTACCAGTGCCAGCCGCTGGATGCTGTTGGCAACAAGGACGTGAAAGGAGAAGTGCAGCTCACTGTGCATTGTGAGAAAAAACACACGTCTATGATCACAGATAAATGCCATTACACAGCTTCAATCAACATGTTTTTTCATTTTCAAATGGATTTATTTGCTAATTGCTGTACGAATGTGTCCAAAAATGGCTTCAATGTCCAATATTTTACAGCTAGTTGTGGGATGTGGTCAACTTTGCATTGTGGGATTATTTATATTTATTATTTATGAATGTAATGGTCTAAATTTGAGACCAGGGTCTTGAATCGGAAAAGGATAGAAGGCCTTCTCCGGGTCAGGGATGCGGTCCTGTCCAGGCGCGAAGATAGGGTGGGGGACGGGGGGCATCCGTCCCCCCCAGATTCAGATCGACCCTGATTCGTTCCCCGCACTAAGGCCAGAAGTAAAACAAAATCGGAGGTTAAGCGCTTGAAGTTCCTTTTTCCATTTACATTGAATGCAGCATGACGTAAACAAACACCGACTCCAGAGGTGCAAAAGTGGTTGCTGCTAGGACGCAGGATGAAGCAACGATTGCTGCGTATTTAAAAAAGACCAACAGTGTAAGTAGGCGGGGCCGATCTGTCTGTTTATGCGTGTTGGTTCTAGTTTCAGTACGTTGTTGTCGGTGTTGGGACTTACTCGTTATAAACGCCAAAGCCTCATTGCTGACTTTAACAAGTCTCATCTACAAATATGATCCCTCATGAAGTTACTGCTTTACACCAGAAGATAGTGGAGATGTGGAACCTTCAGGCAGAGCAAAGTTTGGGAGATTTTAGAGTTTGAAAATCGCCTCCCGCCGAGAGGCTCCCAGTCGGGGAGAGGAGGAGACGCGTGCAGCATGAAGAGCGCAAATATTAGATAAAACGTATAATTGCTGGCAGGTCTGGTCTTTGTTGACTGATCACTTTGTCTGGTCATGACTGACTCTGATTATGAAGCAGAATATTGACTCTGATGAAGAAATTCACTCATCCAGCCGGGAAGATGGACGCTGCTGCAGCATCAGACAGCTGGTGCTGCACGAGAGGTGTGTGGAGTTTACAAGCTCCAAACGTTGGGTTTGATGTTGGTTTCACCTTCTCTGGGACGTGATGGATGTAGAAATGGTGGTAAAACACCGCTAACGTGACAGACGTAGCGACAATGTTAAAAAAAAGCCGTAAAGAAGAGGCAGATGCCGATGCGTTAAGTATGGAAGTCAAGTGTGCCACAAATTAATAAAAAAGTAAACTATAAAATGTAAAGAGATTTATATATTTCTATATAAATTAAAACTTTCAAAATATAATGAAAATTTCTAAATATCGTAAAAATAAGAAGGAACATCTGTTGGTCAGGCTGAAAAGTTTGGGAACCGCTGCTCTAAGTGATAAGTGAATTTCGTTTTTTAAATATATTTTATGTGCAGTTTTTTAGGGTTTTTATGTTTTCTGTAAAGATCGGTGCTGAAAATCATTTAATGTTTAGCATAAAGCATGAGGTTTTGGTTAGTAACTGATTGGAAGAATAACAAATGACTGAATTAAATAGTGGGGCACCTCTGTCAGTTAGCCCCAGGGCAGCTGTAGCTACATCGTAGCTCATCACCACCAGTGTGTGAATGTGTGTGTGAATGGATGAATGATACACTGTAGTGTAAAGCACTTTGGAGTCCTTACTCTGAGAGGCGCTATACAAGTGCGGGTCGTTTATCATTAATAGTGTTGATCAGGCAGAGCTGTGCTGCATAACGGCTTCAGACACGTGTATAAAAGTTAGTTCTTACGTAAACCGTTGGATGAAATTACACGAACTGACTGAGCTCTAGTTAAGGCGCTTGCAATAGTTTGTGTGTGTGTGTGTGTGTGTGTGTGTGTGTGTGTGTGTGTGTGTGTGTGTGTGTGTGTGTGTGTGTGTGTGTGTTTGGGGGAACTTTGTCCCCCCGAGTTTTAAAATCCTATCTGCGCCCCTGGTCCTGTCCCAAGTGGAGTGTAAGCATCTCAGGGTCTTGTGAGTGAGGGAAAGATGAAGTGTGAGTTTAACAGGTGGATTGGTGCTGCGTCTGCAGTGATGCGGGCGTTGTACCGATCTGTCGTGGTGAAGAGAGAGCTGTGCCAGAAAGCGAAGCTCTCAATTTAGTGGTCAATCTACGTTCCCACCCTCACCTATGGTCATGAGCTTTGGGTAGTGACCGAAAGAACGAAATTGTGTTTTGTCCACAGGGTGGCTGGGCTCTCCCTTAGAGATAGGGTGAGACGTTTGTTCATCCGGGAGGGGCTCAGAGTAGATCTGCTGCTCCTCCACATAGAGAGGAGCCAGTTGAGGTAGCTCGGGCATCAAGTTAGGATGCCTCCTGGACGCCTCCCTGGTGAGGGTTTCTGGACACGTCCAACCGGGAGAAGGCCTAAAGGAAGACCCGGGACACGCTGAAGGGACAATGTCTCTCAGATAGCCAGGAAACACACACTTCTGTAAGTTATGGACTTAGGCCCTGTCCACACGTAGCCGGGGATCTGCCAAAACGCAGATATTTTTCTACGTTTTGGCCTGTCATCCACATGAAAACGGATCTTTTTAAAAACTCCGGCCAAAGTGAAGATCTGCGTTTTCTCCGTTTTGGGTGTCTGCGTGTGGACGGACAAAACCGGAGTTTTAAGGTCCGCAACGTCACTTTCCGCGACAAAAAACTGCTGACATCACGTGTGCGACCTGTGTTTACACTAGCCGACAGCATGGATGCCCTCAGAGCTGCGCTCGCTTTATCAATAGTCCAAGCGCTTTCTGCTCGTTTGTTTTTGCAAGCGGAATTACTGCTCCTTGCGGAAGACCACAGACGAAGGACGAGGTTAAGAACGGGGGAAGTACTGCCGCCTACAGGTCCGGCATGTCCTTAACAACGTATTTATCCGGGTACGTGTGGACAGAGTTGTTTTAAACGAGGTGGTGTGGATGCAAGTTTTTGGAGGGGCGGATATTCGTTTTAAAAAAAAAACCCGCTACGTGTGGACTAGGCCTGAGTCATCACAGATCTTCAGAAACCCACAGCATGACAGCATCAAAGTCAACCAAGCCTGTATGTTATGATTAGACATGCATGCTATTCACACACACACACACACACACACACACACACACACACACACACACACACACACACACACACACACACACAGTAGACAGAACTTGGGAGACTTGAAACAGAGAACAGAGGAAGAGGAGATAACCCCCCCCCACACACACACACACACACACACACACACACACACACACACACGCACAAACACTGCTGGAGGTACGACTAGAGATGGAGGTGGAATTGGAGGCGGGTCGCCGGTAGGTAGTGGAGTACCATTTGGATCTTTAGGCATCGAGAGATATTTTTAGACGGTTTCCCGAGAGGCGGAGCGAGTCCCATAAGGGGGTCAGCCGTGCGGAGAAGTGATGTAGTCGTGCGTATGCCAGCCCAAGTGATAGACAGCAGTAGAAGCATGTAGTGAGGAAAATGGCCGAGTTAGAGGATGACCAGGAGAACGTCACCGGTTGAAAGGAGATGTTATCACAGAAAGGAGAACCTCTAGGGATCCACCCAGGAGGAGCTGGCCCAAATGGCTGGGGAGAGAGAAGTGTGGGCCTCCCTGCTTCTGCTGCTGCCCCCGTGACCCGACTAGATAAGCAGCTAAAAATGGGTGAATGGATGCAGCGTAACCATCAGCAGCAGCAGCAGCTTCTTAAGGTTGCTCTTCTGTAATTGATTAATAATTGATGGAGGTTTTAGGCTTCAGAAAATCTGTTTTGCATGAACTGGGTGGCACAGGAGCTAAGAGCTCGCACCGTAATCAGAAGGTTGCAGGTCCGAGCCCCGCTCAGTCTGACGCTGCCATTGTGTCCTTGGGCAAGACACTTAACCCACCTTGCCTGCTGGTGGTGTTCAGAGGGACCGATGGTGCCTGTGTACGGCAGACTCGCCTCTTGTCAGTGTGCCCCTGGGCAGCTGTGGCTACATTGTAGCTCATCACCACCAGGGTGTGAATGACTGGTTGTGTTGTAAAGCACCTTGGGGGGTTCCAGGACTCTAGAAGGTGCTATATCAAATACAGACCATCTACTGTTTTGGAGATTGCAGCAATGCACGGATTCTCTAGTAGCTCATCAGGCCCACGGGACGTAAAACAGGTTTGCACAAACGCACCGCCAAGGAAGCTTTCCGCAGCAGGAACGATTCTTTTAGCTTCTACACAGAAATCTCTTGAATTGTTCTGTTTAATTTGGGAATTCTGCAGAAGTTTTGGAGTTTGTTTTCTCCTTTGGTGGCCAAGCACACACGACTACATTTCATAGTTTAAAAGTATTTTCTGTTAACAGAGAACCGATAAGTTGTTAGAGGATATTTCTCCTCTAGGATTGAAGAAGGCAAGCTGTTTTCAAACGGTTTCCTGTTTTGCTTCAGATTTGGATCCAGCAGTTGTGGTGCCCAAAGACTCTGAGTTCATGCTCAAAGGGGAGGGACTGATCGCGACCTGTAATGCTCTGTCCTCCCTGAAAACAAAAACCATCTGGTACAAGGTGCGTGTCATAAAATCTAATCATTATGGATTGTAGGTTTAGTGTGAATGCATCCATCTGAGCTGTGGTGGCACCGTAATATGTAGGTGCTTTAATCATACATGCACTCTTCTCCTGTTTACAAGAATAAAGCTGCAGAACTACGCCGTCAACCCTGCTGAGAGCTGGGACTCGATAGAGCTGACTTGTTTGTGCTGACTTGAAGCAAAAGCTTAATCGAATCAGTGCAAAATAGTTTATTATCAAAGAATAAACATCTGTAGCTTATCTCTCTGTGTGTGTGTGTGTGTGCGTGTGTGTGTGTGTGCGTGTGCGTGTGTGTGCGTGTGCGTGTGCGTGTGTGTGTGTGTGTGTAGGATGGGAGGAAGGTGGGTGAGGGTAACTCTCTGCACCTGACCGACGCCACCTATGAAACGAGTGGAAAGTACATGTGTGAGGTGACTGCCCCCGCCCTGCCCACCCTGCGCACCAGCGGCTCCATTCACATCATCGTCCAAGGTCAGCCAGCAGCAGCTGGATCCGTCCAGCAGGTTCACCTTTAAAGGTCTTCACCTAGCCACTGCTCTCTCTGATGGTGAACAAGAATCCTGACCCAACTGCAGCTAATGCACCCCGGGGTGTAGCACAAGAACAATAAAGTTTGCTTTCTGAGGTTTTGGAACGCGCAGACAGCACAAGTAAATGTCCCAGAATGAGGACAAAATCAGATAAAATGTATGGAGGCGGATATCCTCCTAACCCCTTCGTTCCACCAGAAGCAACAACAGCTGAAAACGTGCTTTGCTACGATTAGCTGCTGCTGTAGTGGACGGGTCACGTTTCGGACACGCTTAAGAGGCACGAGGACACGGTTCTGTTGTGTTCAAGCCTATTGTTTATGCTCTTCATTCCCAGAACATGTCAAACTCTGCAGCTAAGATCGGGCCAGACAGGAAGTCAAACACAAAAGCAGTGTAAAACATCCGGAAACTTTCAAAATAAAAGTCACAAGCAGATTTCCAGTTGCTTAGCTAGTCATTCCCTGTGAAACCTCCGTAGCCGAGGTAAACGGGACATAAAAGAAACCAGACCTTTTGGGATAAATGTTGTGTGGAACGCTGTTGCTTCCAGTCAGCGGTTGGATGGGAGCTGGTGGGTTAAACGCTTGGATGACATTTTACGTCGCTCGCATGCCCGGTGGAAAGGAGGGGTTAGAAGCTGCATTCTCTCATCCTGAAGAAGAACTTCTTGGGCCTTCCTTCAAATCTGAACTTTGTTTTTTTATCCCAACTAAATATTTGAACAGGAAGTGATCCTATACAGTGTGCAGAGACTCTTGTGTTGCACCGCTTCGTAGAAAAGCCCAGTACTACAACATGTGCAGATAGGAATGATACACCTTTGCTGATAGGTGGTCCCCAGATGGTGGGCGAGGAGGAGGCGGTGCAGCTGGAGGAGGTGACCGGCAGGACAGTGAATCTGAGCTGTGAGGTTAAAGGACATCCGCCTCCCAGCATCACCTGGAGCATCATCGGCAGCCAGGTCTGACTCACATCTAGACCTGCGGTCACTGAATCTGGTCCTCCAGGGCCACCGTCCTACATGTCTGTGCTCCTGTCTCACACCCGTGCAGGAAAACATGCAGGACAGCGACTCAAGGACTATTTGATTTTTAAAATGCTAATTTTAGTTGAATAAATGAGAAATAATGATGACGGTTTCTCTGTAGAGCTGGCAAGAAGTGGTGAGCAAAGCAAATGATCACGTGATCCACAGCACGGTGTCAGTCCTAGTCACCTCGGACGTCAGCGCCCTGTGCAACGCCTCCAACGACATGGGCACTGATGTGAAGGCTTTCAGCATCAAAGCCAGTAAGTAGCTTGCATTTAGTCTGTTTGAGGTGAATTATTATTAAAAAAAAGCTGAAATTGGAAAAAACTAAAGATTTTATTGCATTTTATTCCATGTCTCCTGGTATTTTTCACATTAGAGCAGATTTTAATTTAAGAATGTTGCTGCAAAGTGCTTTAAACATTCATGTTTATGGATTTAAGGACATTTTGGTCTGAAGAAACGCAACTAAGGGAAAATCTTTTAAGTGTTTTTTATTACCAGTTCTTTTCATGAAGAGGTATAAATTAAGAGTCTTTGTTTATACTTTATTACACACCAGAAAAGTTAAGATTTCACATTATTTATGGATTTCACTGTTTTTGGTGCACAGTGAAGGTTTCAGCTGAAAAACCATCATAAATACAAAACTGGAGGGAAACCCAGGACCTCGTTTAACCCTGCAGCTTCTTCAGTGAATCGTGTTTCTGTGGATCTGACTGCAGAGATGAAACAAAACACAGCTAAATAAACATCTGCAGCAATGTTTTTTCATTGAATCTTTAATGTTTAGAATAAAACTGAACCAGATAACTTGTTTTTTGTTTCCTAAACATGTAAAAACTGTGTGTGTTTGATTAATATCTGTGTTTTATTACTTGTTTGCAGTTCCCAGAGTCACCACGACTGCTTCCTTCTCTCCTGGTAAGACTGTCTTCTCCTCCAGCTACTCTAGATGTTCGGGATTTTCCCGTCTGTGTGCGACAACGCTCGGAGAAGAACATGCATTATTTACAGGCTTTCCACCCCACCACTGGTCTTTAGTTAGCTGGCACGGCTTTGGGCTACCCTTCGGCTGTATTAAATATTCTGTTGGATTTTTGAGAGAAAAATCTTAACAGCAGCAAATTCAAGCTCACCAGCAGTCCAACGGATACGCTGATCAAACACGCTGCAGCGGCAGAACATTATTTGTTTATCCCAGAATTTTTAAGCACACACACAAAAAAATAAACGCTAATCGTAAAAAAACGGCTCTGCAAAGATTAATGCAACTCGAGTCAACAAGACGAGGATTCATTTCTAATTATTTACTGTCATTAATGCCTGTTAGAATAAAGTTTTAGGGATGTTTATTGGGGGCTGCTCAGTGGTGCAGTGGTTAGAGCTGTTTCCTTGCTCCAAGAAGGTCCTGGGTTCGATTCCCGGCCTGGGGTCTTTCTGCATGGAGTTAGCATGTTCTCCCTGTGCATGCGTGTGTTCTCTCCGGGTTCTCCGGCTTCCTCCCACAGTCCAAAATCATGACTGTTAGGTTGACTAGTCTGTCCAAATTGTCCTTAGGTGTGTGTGTGTGTGTGTGTGTGTGTGTGTGTGTGTGTGTGTGTGTGTGTGTGTGTGTGTGTGTGTGTGTGTGTGTGTGTGTGTGTGTGTGTGTGTGTGTGTGTGTGTGTGTGTGTGTGTGTGTGTGTGTGTGTGTGTGTGTGTGTTGCCCTGCGATGGACTGGCTCCCTGTCCAGGGTGTACCCCGCCTGATTGCCCGTTGACTGCTGGAGATAGGCACCAGCCCCCCCGCGACCCTGCGTGGACAAGCGGGTTCAGACGATGGATGGATGTTTATTGATTTGATCTTATTTTCTACAACTCATAAATATAACAATCAAACTTGTGATTTTCATTTGTCTAATTTATGGAAGTAAGACTTAGTTAATCCTAAATAAGCTGGAAACTTTACCCCTAATGCCCCCTGGTGGTTGGTTGCATGTGAAGTTTTTAATTATATCCGGGTCGGGTTGCAGGGGCAGCAACGCTTAATTTAAATGTAAAGCATCGTGGTGCTTTTGGAGACTCTGAAACGTCTAGACTGTCTACATCTATGCAGGATGTGGCTCTGTTCATCACTAACATTTTATTTATAGACTTTGTGTTTATTTTGCACGTGCTTGTTCAGTATCTACATGTAACGTTACTGTGACTGGTGGTTGTTGCAGGCCTACCCTGATGTGAATACTCAGACCTCAGTAGTTCTGAGTATTCACTAAGTTATTCAGTAAGTAGTTTCAGATCACAGTAATGACACTTTTACTCTCGAAGCATTATTGAATTGAACTGAAGCGGGTTATAAAAGGACTTTCTCTGCAGATTGTTTTGCAGAGGAATAATTTAATGCTCAGCTAATTATTTCTTAATTTATTAGAAAAAGATAGATAGCAAACATTTGTTTTCATTTAATAACTGGTTTTAAAATATTGCATGAATGCTGTAAAATAAACAAAAACAAAGTGCTGAGCAGAGCGCGTGTCGTGTTTGTGTTCTGTGTTTGCAGTAGAGGGCGGTGGGGTGATCATAGTGGTGATCATTCTGTGTCTGCTCCTGCTCGCTGTGCTCGGCAGCGTTTTCTACTTTCTACACAAGAAGGGAAAGATTCCCTGCGGACGCTCAGGCAAACAGGAAATGTGAGTTTTTCCGTCCTCTCTTGATTTTTCACCGGCGTGGTGAAAACCAGGTGGTGAGTTGGTTTGGATGTTTGGAGAAGAATCTCATGAACAAAATTTTAAATTGGAATCAGCCCGATTAAAGATGGCCGCCGCTTCCTGTCTACAGTAAAGTAGGTCTAAATAAAGTTAATTGCGCTGATAGAGCTACAGTTCTAACTGATCACACGACGTTTAGTGAAACTGCATGACAGTATTTGCAAAACTAGACCAAATTAGGCATAACTCATTCATTCAACAGTGAAAAGAACGATAAGACTTCAACACGTATTTAGTTTTTGCACAGTGGAATGAATGAAATGGTAATTTAAACAAAACGTAGACCAGGACCAGACCGTGGGAATTTGTGTGTAGATAACAGAATATAAACCAAGGACTCAAAGCACGAGCTTCTGTCTGGACTCCACTGAGGTTGTGGTGTAGTGCATTGTGTCGTTACACTAGTAAGATGCGACGTTACGTATTTAGACTCAACCCCATCTACTAAGTCCAACCAGCGACTGAAACGCTCTCCTGAAATCACCGCGCCGTACCGACGCACGTCGTCCTGCTGAGACCCATCCAAACCAATCAGTAGAACCGAAGCTGAAAGTGACTCAGATCCTGTTCTTTTCGCTAATACTTGACTAAAATCTTATTTCCAAGACCAAGAAACTAAAAAACAAGAAAATTAGCCGTGTGAGACCCTTTTTATAAATGCAACAATGAGATCAAGAAAAAACAAGCATATTTAACAAAAGACCTTAAAATGTAAACCCTAGATGCAAAAACACAACATCTCTAAGGCAGAAGTTAAATATTAACTTCTGTTCCGAGTCATTTGGCCTTTTGTGTAATTTTACATCAATTTCTCTTGTTTTTTGTCGCCGAGCAGCACCAAAGAGAAGGCCACCAAAGATGACATTGTTGTGGAGATGAAGACTAACACAAAGAACAAGGAAGCTGTCCTCCTGAAGGGCGTCAATGGAGAGCAGAAAGGTCCTAATGACCAGGTAACTGTTGTGGTGAGTGAATAGTTTTAATTCAGAGGCCACAGACCCACCGCGGTCCCCTGCAGGCTGCAGACTTCACTGCTAGCAAATGTTGGGCTTTTATGAGAAGTTTTCCCAGAGGAAGCTGCAAAATAAAACCTCTCACCTTTGTCTGGAGAGACTGAAACATTGCAGATTTTGAATGAATGGCTTCCACTGACTCGTACTGGTACTGGTTTCCACTGGTACCATTATAAAAGTGTCCTTTTCAGGTTTACCCCTGGGAACTTTACTGTATTTCCCGTCACAGCTCTGTTGGGAGGCTGGTTAAATTAGCAAGAGCAAATATTTTGAAGCCTTGCAGGATGTTTGTAGATCAGATGGAGTGTGTAAAGAGAATCTGATTAAGCAGCTCGTAAACGGGAGTGCAGACAGATGATGAAACACCAGCCCAAAGACTTTTAGCTGCTTGTAAAAAACGACTTTTACAAACTGTGATATTTTGCCAAAGGGAGGTTTTACTTGGCACACTGTAGAAATTACTCGTTGGAATAAACTTATTTTACTAGGTTGTCAAACAAATGTTTTGGTAAATATTATTAACTGGGTATGTGTATTTATGACTGAATATTTATCATAAATAAATGATTCAGTGTAATGAATAAGACACAGCGAAAACATTTTATCGGTCTGTCTGTCTGTAAAAAATCAGAAGAGGGTAGAACGGCTTCTGGTCAGGGGCGAGGTCCTGCCTCAAGTGGAGGAGTTTAAGTATCTCAGGGTCTTGTTCATGAGTGAGGGAAGAATGGAGCGTGAGATCGACAGGTGGGTTGGTGCGTCTACAGTGATGCGGGCGTTGTACCGGTCTGTCATGAAGAGAGGGCTGAGCCGGAAGTCAAAGCTCTCAGTTTACCAGTTGACCTACATTCCTCACCTGTGGTTACGGGTTTCGGGTGGAGACCAAAAGAAGGAGATCGTGGATACAAGCGGCTGAAATGATTTTTTTCTTCAGGATGTCTGGGCTCTCCCTTAGAGAGAGGGTGAGAAGCTCGGTCATCTGGGAGGGGCTTGGAGTAGATTCGCTGCTCCTCCACATCGAGAAGCCAGTTGAGTTGGCTCGGGCATCTGGTCAGGATGCCTCCTGGACGCCTCCCTGGTGAGGTTTTCTGGACACGTCCAACCGGGAGGAGACCTAAAGGTAGACCCAGGACACGCTGGAGGGACGATGTCTCTCACCTGGCTGGGGAGCGATACCCCCCGGAGGAGCTGGCCCAAGCGGCTGGGGAGAGGGACGTCTGGGCCTCTCTGCTTAGGTCGCGACCCAACTCCGGATGAAAAACTATGTTCGTCTTTACTCACTAAGCTCCAGAAGAATTATTCTAAATGTGCTCAAGTTGTATCCTGCTACTGTTTGTTTCTCTATCCTAAATAAACCAACAGGACACAAATAGATGCTTAAAATAGATTAGAAGGGAGATTTTTTTAAACATTTATTTTGACATCTGAATGTGACTAAAATCTCTGTAATGCCTTGAAAGTGTTCAGATGAACTTGTTTGTCCTCTGCAGTAAAACCACAGTGATCCAGCGGCGTCGCGGCGGACATCAGGTCGCCTGAAGCGGCGGCCGGAGTTTGAGCTGAGGAGGCTCCAGACCTCACACTGATCTGAGACCTGCAGACTTACAGCTCCTCACAGCCTGCACATTCCTCCCTCCCATCATGCTTCGTTTTCAGCAGTATTACACACACACACACACACACACACACACACACACACACACACACACACACACACACACACACACACACACACACACACACAGGTATGTTTGTACAGATGTTTGTTTTTTATTTGGTTTCCAGCTGTGTTCATTTCTTGGTTGTTTGGTTGCTGTCTGACGATGTTTTATGTGCATCATCGTCATTTTTTCTATCAAAGTGTAAATATTTTATATATTTTGTTATTTAAGATATTTTGGCACTCACGTGTTCGTTTCACAGCAGCGCCTGGCTCGTGTTCATAAATCCCAACGAGATTTCACACAGGAAGTGACCTGAGGTCAAACGCTCGTTCCAAGAGGAGTGTACTTGAATTCGCTGCCGTTATTTCTGACGTTAGAGTTGCAAAACTACAGTTTATTTCCATCAAAATCAACATTTTGAGTGTTTGATCATCAGGAGATGTGGAAGCTGAGCTGCAGGATAATCAGTAGTTTTATGGATGGAGAGAGACACACTGGCGACCTTCTTTTCCAACTGCTGTCTCGTTCTTGTTTGTAAATACGTGTAGTTTAGAGACCTCCGCCGGAGGGCTGAAAGGGTCGGATTTAGAGATCTGCTGTGCCTGGTTTTTGACATCATACACTGAAGTTTGTCTTGAATCTGTTTGGTTTTTGTGTTTCCACTGAGAAGTCGCTGCCTGGAGAGGCGTCCCAGTGTTTTTGCATGTTTCACTCAGTTGGTTTTGGACAGAAAATGATCAAAAATGACCAATGAGAAGGTAGATTAATAAAAGCAGGCAAGTTTCAGATTCATTTAATATGGATAAAAGAAATAAACTTACATTTTCTTTACTATTTAGACCAAAAAGAGGATTTAAAAAAAAAACAGTTTTCCCTCATAATCTATAAGAATAAATAAATCTGTAGAAATTTTCACCAGACTTGATAAAAAAAAACAGATGTAAAAATATCTTTGTTTGCGTTTAAATTTTTTATGCCTGCCTAATAAAACAAACATGGCCGTGTTTTAGAACATGTGTGCAGAAAACCAGGAAGTACCTTCAGTGACCTTCTGGGTTTTCCAAAGCTTCACGTTTCAGAAAAGCGATTGTTCAGCTTTGTGAGTCCAAACTAATTATAGAGGATGAACCACAAACTGGGTTTATTCTGAAACAAGAAAAACCTGCAAAAACACTGCCGGCTGCTTCTAGAGGCCAGCGCTGTGAATATTCTCCACTGTGTATTTCTGTTGTTGAGGTTTTTTGGTTCCTGAGAGTTCTACACTGCCCTGATGACTTGCAACGTTAGAGTAGCGACACCAGTTTATTATCCCCCCCCCCCAGTTATCCACTGAAACGTGCCGCCGTGTGCAGAGTGATGCTTTCTACATGAAGCCATAGCACAGACTTCTGATCAGATCCATGAATCTGCACCTCATTCGGTTTCATTTAGATTTCTTATGTTAGTGACGAGAAACGGAGTCTGAAACAGAGTTTTATGGGGGGTGTTTCAAACGTGTGTAAATTAAGTCATGTACATGTGATTCTTTGATGCTTGTGCTTTTTTATTTTGCAAGAAAATAATGCCAAATAAAAGTTTTGTTGAAACAAAGGCTGTTTCTTCTACTGAGGTTTTCTAGAAATGAGTCAGAGCCTTGGGGGCTGAATGTGAGTTGAGATGTTGTGTGTGTGTGTGTGTGTGTGTGTGTGTGTGTGTGTGTGTGTGTGTGTGTGCGCACGCGGTGCAAAATCCCACAGCAAGAAGGGTGAAAGTAGCCTCCAGACCGCTGTCAGCACGAACTGGAAATGACTCCAACGGTAGCTCAGATTTCTCACTTCGGAGGGAGGCAGGACACAAACCAGCTCACATCTGCAAAGAATCAAAGCTGCAAAACAAATCAGCCGCTCTCCAGCCGGTCGAAGCAAATCCTCCTAAACTCAGGGTGATGAAAGTGGGATAATCTCGGAAATTAAGGTCCTCCGCTTGAACAAAATGTTAAATTTTAATTTCATGCATTGCTTGAATGCATCATTCTTTGGTATTTGTTTCCCTAACGAACCAAAATGCACAAAATTTATTTCTAAAAGGATTCTTAATTTTTAGAGAACACCATAAAATGTTCCCAGCTGCAGTTTCTATGCAGAAATGTGCGTAACATTAGGTCAGGAAACATCTGGACAGGTACGCTCAAGCTTTTTCTTAGGCACCTACTGTCATGGTCTGTGTCTGCCCCTTCCTTCATGTGCCTCCTGGTGTTTCCCCATCCTCTCTAGGTGCTCCTTTTGTGTCTTCTAGCGCCCTCATGTGCCTCCTGGTGTTCCCCATTTGCTCTTTAGGTTTCCCCCTCAGACATCCCTCTCCCAGGTCCTGTGCTCTCTTGGCCCCCTCTTAGTGTTTTCCTTTAGTGTCAGCTTCCCCTTAGTTTATTAGTTCATGCCTTCTGGTCTTTAGTTTTTCTCTTAGGTCATTTTCCTTTGTTACAGCCTTTCAGTATTTAGTGTGTTTTTCCCACCAGTGTGTTCTTCCTCCTCCCTGATTTAGTCATTGTATTCACCTGGTCCCTCCCCCCACACACCTGCAGTTAGCTCCCTCTCATCTTCCCAGTCTATTTAAGCCCTGTCTTCAGGGGCGTCGGACTGGGGGGGGGAAAGGGTACCGTTTACCCAGGGCCCACTGTAGGGAGGGGCCCTGAGACAGCTTTGAATAAAAATGTTTTATTGTTGTTGTTTTTTCCCCCCAACTTACTTAATGTCTTAATAAACTTCCCTTTACCTGGATAAAGAGGTTAAGAAACAGAATTTCGCCTTAAAAATAATAACTGAATAATCTCTGAGGCATCTATCACCCCTTAAAAATGTGCAAAGTGGTTTAGTCCACACCAGCGGCCAGGGCTGCACGGCTGCATGTACAGCTATGAGACATCGCAGATGCCGACAGCCAGAGCTGGAGGCAGGAGAGTCAGTCATGTCTTTTCCCAAGAAAGGGAAATCTGGCTTCCAGAAAAGAAAAGAAAAGAAGGAGAAGGAGAAAAAGTTAATTGAACAGAAGCAAGTATTGACTAGGTTCTTCAAGAAGGAAGGTGAGCTGCAGAACACAGTTTTAGCTGATATTAGCTAGCTCTCAGAAGCTGCATTCATGTTAGGTGTTCAGTGTTCATTTTGGGAGCTTATGATAGACATTGTCCTCTAAAATATCATAAGCAAAACTTAAAAAAAAGGTCCCCACCCTGGATTGTTAGGGGATTGGAAAGGGCTTGCCAGAAAAAGAAATCACTGTATCTGGATTTTATAAAAAATCCAACAAAGGAAAAAGAAAAAAGGTATAAGGAATATAAAAACAAATTAAATACAATAATAAGGAAGCAAAAAAAGGAATATTATGATCAGCTTTTCCTAAAACACAAAAATAATATTAAAGGTACATGGAATGTGTTAAATAAATTAATAAGAAATACAAAAGAAGCAGGTATAGATATTCACAATAAAAATGGAAAGAACATTGCAAATGAGTTTAATAAATATTTTGTGAATGTTGGCCCTAATCTAGCTAAAAATCTGCCAGAAGTTGACATTAACCATGAAATAAATAAAAATATTAATACAATGTTTTTGAGCAGTGTAAGCCAAAGTGATGTGATCCAAGCGGTACATAGTTTCAAAAGTAAAAAGTCCTTAGATTTTCATGGGATAGATATGTCTCTCATGAAGGAGGTTATCCATTGCATTATTGAACCTTTTACTTATATTTGTAATAAATCATTTTCAAGTGGCACAGTCCCTGAAAAAATGAAAATAGCCAGAGTTATTCCTATTTATAAAAGTGGTGATAAATTATTAGCTGTAACTATAGACCTATCTCTTTACTGCCACAGTTTTCAAATATACTTGAGAAACTTTTTGTAATTAGATTTGAAGCATTTACCAACAAGTTTGATCTTTTAAATGACCATCAGTATGGGTTTAGGAAGAATCGTTCAACCTCATTAGCAGTTATGGATTTGGTAGAGCAGATTGCAACAGCAGTGGATCAAAAACTTCATGTAGTGGCTGTCTTGATTGACTTGAGTAAGGCATTTGATACAATTGATCACATATACCTGCTCAAGAAATGTGAATACTATGGTCTTCGTGGTAAAACCAATCAATGGCTTGAAAGTTATTTAAGCAGTAGATTTCAATATGTAAATGTTAATGATATAGATTCACAGCTTGAAAGAGTAATATGTGGTGTACCGCAAGGCTCGGTGCTAGGACCGAAATTATTCAACCTATACCTGAACGACATCTTTTCTGTATCGTCTCGGTTAAAATTTATTATGTTTGCAGATGATACAAATTTCATTTGTAAGGGAAAAGATATGAGTAAATTATTACAAGAGGTTGAAAACGAATTGGATTCAATTAAAAAATGGTTTGATTACAACAAGCTATCACTAAATGAAAATAAAACCAAATTTATGATATTTTCAGGGAAAAGGGACAATGACGGTGCTAAGCTGTATTTAAATGGAGTCCCAATTGAACAAGTACATGAAACTAAATTCCTAGGTGTGACTATTGATAGTAAACTCAGTTGGAAACCACACATTGAATATATCAAACAGCAAGTGTCTAAATCTATTGCTATACTTTATAAAACTATTGATATACTAAATAAAAAAGCCTTGTTTTTGATTTATAGCTCTTTAGTTATGCCTTATTTGTCTTACTGTGCAGAGGTTTGGGGAAATGCAGGTAAAACGTGTGTTGAGACTGTATTTAAATTACAAAAAAAGGCGATTAAAATAGTTAATAAATTGGGATACCTCGAACCAACCCATTATCTATTTAGTCAAACGAAAACGCTAAAATTAGGAGACATTATTAAAGTAAAAATCTTAGAGATTCTTCATAAAGTAGTTAATAATAATATCCCAAATTGCATAAAAGTTTATTTCAAACCAAGAGATGATCATTATAATCTCAGAGGTGTATTTATGTTTGAATGTGTAAAAGCCAGAACTAATGTGAAATCAAGATGTGTTTCCGTTCTTGGTGTGAAATTGTGGAATGAGTTAGATGATGATTTGAAGAAATGTACTTCTTTACTAAAGTTTAAAGCAGGTGTAAAGTGTCACATATTTACAGGGTACGAAAAGTATGTATAGACATTAATGAATTTTCATTGTGGATATTTATATTGGGGAAAATAAAAGAAATGTATATTGGTTATGTATATTAGGTGGAAAATAGGGTAGGCTAAAATAAGCATTGCTTCTGCCTATTCCTTCTTTGGTTTAAATTCAAATTGTTAATATTGTTTTGTTTGAAAAGAAAAATTTTATGTTAATGCTATAAACCAAAATAAAGACCGAAAGAAAGAAGAAAGAAAGTGTTAAACACCTTTAGTTTCACCATCAAGATCAAAAATAAATTAATTAGTGTTATCAGTGATAACACTAATTAATTTATATATATATTAATCAGAATTATTATCGCGGGCGGCTGCCGCCAATTAATTTGCGGACCTCACAGTAAAAACAGGTTCACTCTGTGTGGATATTTCCGCTCCTTCCCAGTCATGGACCAGGACAAACTTGGTATCGATGGATTCGTGGTAATCTCAGGAATGGGAAGCTGCCACTGTTTTTCGTATAGCATGATGACACTGGTGTTAGAGGATTGTTATTGACTTGGTTAGATATTTTAAGCCTATTTTAAATTTCTTTATATTTGATCTTGAAAACGGACAATCTTATAATTTGGCTGATAATGCAGGGATTATAAAATTTAGAGTACATTACATTCACAGAGAGAACCTGGTTTATTTCATGTCATATGTATTTAATATATCAATATATATCAGTATTAGCAAAGCTTAACATCATGAACCACATGGCCCTTTAGACGCAGTAGCAGCAGCAGCAGGGCCCTCATTGTCTCCAGAAAGCACTGAGGAGATGAGACAAGGTGAGCTCACTCAGGGGCGGCGTTAGGCCCAGCTACTTGGGCTGAAGCCCCAGATGTTTTATGAAAAGCCCCGGATCTGAAACGTGGAAGTAACATGCAGTACCAAAGTCCAACAGAGAGGGAGCAGCTGGCAGTAGTTTGTATACAGCCTGCCTGAGCCTCCACCACTGAAGAAGAAGCCCTTCAGCAGCCGGCTTCTTCTACACTCTCTGCCTGAAACGCATGAGTGAAGATGGACATAAGGACTTTTTTTTAGACAAAAAGTACGGCGACAGAACCCCAGCTCTGATGAGACTGGTGCTGACTCAGGTTTGTGAGTCTTATTTGAAAATATTTGTGGTGCTGCTGGTTTGCCTAAAGTTAGCTTCTCAGGTAAAGTTGCTGGAAAGTGAATATTTACTTTCATCTCACACTAAACACTAACAGGAACAATATTCTGCCCTGAATATGCTTAATATGTAGCTTTAGATTAAAAAATTATGTGGTACAAGACAAATATATATGATGTTGACTAGTGCGTGTCACGTGTGTGTGCGCGCGTGTTTGTGTGTTAAGCCCCGGATCTTCTTCAGTCCTAAATCCGCCCCTGAGCTCACAATACAATTAAGTTATTCAATTTACAAGCAATCATTAGCAACAGATTTATCTGAAAGGACATGTTAGGTTATATTTTGCTGACCTAATTCATGATCCATTTTGCTTGTGTGGTGTCTGTCCCCCTTGCAGCAGAGAAAGAGATAGAATATGTGAAAGAGGATGATGTAAGTGAAGATAGGGAAGGGGATGGTTGCTCTGAAGGTAGTGAGGATGATGAGGAGAGGCCAGAAGAAGAAGAAAGTGAGAGGCTGAGCAACACAGATGAGTGTCTGCCAGAGGATCCAGGACTATGGCCAGAGAAGCTCACTGGTCAACAGAGCGATACAGTTGTCAGAAGACTGGCGAATAAAAGTGATCAAACACCAGGAATCGACAAAATAACACCCAAAGATATGGAGGGCAAGCCATTTCCAAATTATCTTCAATATGCTAAGTCAGCCAATGGGCATGAGAAGATAAGAAGAGACTGGCTTATTTACAGTGAAAGTGCAAAGGCTCTGTACTGCATCCCATGTCTCCTCTTGAGCTGCTTAATTCCATCTACAGGATGTAATTACAGAGCATTTTTGGAGAAGTTTGTATTGGACTGAGGATTTTTTGCACACTACCTGTGACTGTTGCTGGGGGTGAACGGGCTTTTAGCAAACTGAAACTGGTGAAAAATTATTTGAGATCAACAATGTCCCAGGATAGACTGAACAGCCTAGCTCTTCTTTCTATTGAAAGCCAATTAGCCAAAGGATTGGACTTTAAAGATCTCATAAGGGATTTTGCTAACATGAAGACCCGTCAGTGGGCATTTACTGGAAAATAAATTCCAGGATTAATGTTTGAACACATTGTTGGCAAATAAAAATAATTATATGTGAAGTCTGGGCATTTCACTTTTATTATGCTGGCATTTGTATTTGCTCAATATAGAGGTTAAACTGAGATCATATTTATTATCTTGTCTTATAGCATGACAAAAAATGTGTAAGAGAGATATTACACAATTGAGCATGGGGCCCACCTAGAAGACTTGTACCTAGGGCCCAGAATTTGGTGCTACGCCCCTGCCTGTCTTGTCTCTGTGTGGTTGTCGGTCCATTATTGTTGTCAGCGTTGTTTCGTGCTCTAGTTGAGCTTATGTCTCCAGGTTTTGGTGCTCTAGTTGAGCTTATGTCTCCAGGTTTTGGTGCTCTAGTTGAGCTTATGTCTCCAGGTTTTGGTGCTCTAGTTGAGCTTATGTCTCCAGGTTTTGGTGCTCTAGTTGAGCTTATGTCTCCAGGTTTTGGTGCTCTCAGTGAGCTTTTGTTTTTGCTACCAGGGTTTTGGGATTTTGGACTTTTGGCTCGCTGCCTTATGCTTTATTTTGCAGGACGAACAAAAATAAATCCTATTTACTTTACATCTCCAGCCTCGTGTCATCCTGGGTTTCTGCATATTTGGGTCCTAAACATCCTCAAAACTACATTTAGTAAAATCACTCCGTTTTACTTTTTAACATTAAAAGTGCTACTACTAGTTCATCAGGTGTTTTATGTGTCTTCTCAAACCCCCAGTGAGTCGCAGCAGATGGCTGCTCAGACTGATCCAGGTTCTGCTGGAGGTTTCTTCCTGTTAAAGGGGCGATTTCCTCCTCACTCTCGCTACATGCTTGCAAGTGAAACTCAAAAATAACCCCCTTCTAGCTCCTGCTGGTTGGTTTCCTTATTTTGTCTCAATCTAAATAATTTAGGCTTCCTTGTTATATAAACTGCAGAATGAATCTGTTGTGAAGCATCAGGAACACGACTAAAATACCGTCTGTCAACTACCAGCTTCTAACTAAAAAGGCAGGTGTAAAAAAATCTGTCTTCCTGTGTCTAATCTCTGCGAGACAGTTGGTGGCTAACGCTCAAAACAGATGTTTTTCCCAGGAGGTTTTGGGAAACACTGGATTTAGATTAATCAGATAACCAGGAAACCATAAAACCCACAATAAATACTTTACTTCTCTTATTAATTCAACCAAGTAAAGAATTATCTACTGTTGGCTCTAAAACTTGTAAAAATAATAATAATTTCTTGAACAAACGGTTACAGAAAATAGTTTAATTAAAAATCTTAATGGCTTAGGCATGAAAACATGGCAGCACAATGAATGCAGGGTATTAAAAAGACAATAAATAAAATCATATCTACACAGGCAATAACAAAGCAATAACATTTTTAGTAAGCTAGTTCCGTTTGAAAAGGCCAGTTAACGCAGTAAACCAACACACACACACACACACACACACACACACAGGATTAGTCAGCGGATCAGAACCGACTGGACAGCTCGGAGTACCAGCGACTCAGAGAAACGGCTCCGGGACAACTTGGCTCTGTGCAGCTGTTGCAGGAGTCGAGGATCTGGCGGGAGAAACGGGGCAGCAGCTGCAGCGTTTGGATGCTTTTTTTGGGGGGGGGGGGGGGGTAAAAGCTGCAGGTTTTCCTCTGGAATCCTAACCCTTACAACAGTCATCCTGGGCTGTTTAACCCTCCAACTGTCCTAGTGGGTGTGACCCCGCGAGGAAAGTTGACCATTGAGCAGGGTTGATGGTTTATCCCTTGAGGTCCATGTGGCAGGAGTGAGGAGTGAGCACCACCTCACCCCTGCCACATGGACCTCAAGGGATAAACCATCAACCCTGCTCAATGGTCAACTTTCCTCGCATGTTTTTATTCCTCCCTTATTCATAAAAACCTGCTGAGTCACACTTGGTGAATTAAACAGATCCAAGGATCAGTTTGGAGTTTAGTTGGATCATCTGTGAGCGTGTGCAGGATGGATGGAGTGGCTCTAGGAAAAGACATGTGCAGTAATGTATTAAAGGACACTTCAGCCGCTTGCTAGTCCAGGCGGAGATGAAACGTTCAGTTAGTTTTGTTTTAATGCTTGAGAAAACCTTCAGACATTTCTGGAGATCTACATCTTCAGGACTTCCTCAGCCGAGTCCACGCCCCCTGTAAGCAATCCGGGACTTCTATTGCACTGATCCAAACAAATCTCTTTAAATCATCAGATGGCCAGAAACGCTCTGGGTGAGTATAAAAGAAACAACCGTTTGAATGAATGAATGAATGAATGAATGAATGTTTAAAACGTTCTAACAAAAAGCAATTAGGGGACTGCATTCTACCTGGTCGCCAGTAGGGGTCACTGCTGCACATGAAATTTAACAAGAATGAATGAGTTTAAGGCGAGTTTAGAACCTTGTCAATTTTTTTGTGAAACAGATGATAAACACGAGGCTCACCATCTTTTAAAACTTATTTCCAACATCTAAAATATTAAATGACTTTCACACAATCTGTGAATTATTCAGATTAAATATAAATAAATCCCTGCCAACAGCATAATCTGATAAATATTTGGAGTGTTGGGAGAGAAACCGGGAGCATCCCACTGCCCCTGTAGCCGAAGTCAAAAATATGAAGCCAAGAGCTTAGGGAACAATTCCCATGTGGCTCCGACATTTGGGAATGCTTCATCACATAAACTCAGACATATAGAAGAACCAAACAATAGAAACGTGCTGCACATTCACACGGAATGGCTTTTGAAGTGTCAGATAATTCCAGCACAGCTCAGCATTCCCAAACATGTCTGTTCGGGTTCTTTAAAAGCGACGGAGTACCATCTGCAGCTCAGGGGAGTAACTCCAACTCCATCCAGGGGGTCAGTGAGCTCAGCAAAGCATAAAACAAAACCAGAAGACAGCAAAAATGTTGGAACGCTGCTCTATCGCCATCCGAGTCTGTCAAACACAACGGGCTTTATTTCCTGAGTCGCACAACAAACTGCTCCACCGGTTGTGCTTTCCACGGTTTCACTGAAACAGCCGGTTTGTCGTTCTCTAATCCGGTCACTGATTTTAAAACAACACTGTGTGCTTTCCTCCTTTGTATCCATCTTGGATCACGGAAACTGGGAGCTATTGGTCAATATCTGATGTGGTTGGTCTGAGACACCATCAGAACCGGTGCCTTTTCCTGTGCCGTGGCACTAAAACCATTTTATTTGTGTGTGAGATCCCTGCTGTTGTCCGTGTGCATCAGGTGACTAAATGCTTGTTGGGTTTAGAGTTTTGTCTGTTTGATGACTCAGGGCCAGTGAGGTAGATCAGCTTGGGATACTTTCCATGTTAATCAGGGACTGGTGTACTATTTGTGGTTTTCCTAGCATGCCGGGCTGCGACTGTTGGCGACAAATTGAAAAGATGGTTTTCAAAAGTGTGTCGAAACACGTGTGAGCAGCTTCTCTGTGGCAAATCTCTTGAATTAACTAAAAAATTTAGCTAAATAAAACTACAATAAATTTATCTCACAATAGTCCTCCTGGGCATCTGGAACTCGTCTCAAATTAGTTCCTGTGAGTCAGAAAGTGCAAGAAATAACACGACTTTGAGGAGTAAACTGTTACCAACATAACGGGTGAATTACAAACAACTCAAACTCTAACAAAAAGAAGTTTTTTCAGTTTGTTTGCAATTCACATGCTTCACGTGACGCAACCATGTAGAAAACTACACTGAACAAAAATATAAACGCAACACTTTTGTTTCTGCTCCCATTTTTCATGAGATGGACTTAAAGATCTAAAATTCATTCCAGATACACAATATCACCATTTCTCTCAAACATTGTTCACAAATCAGTCTAAATGTGTGATAGTGAGCACTTCTGCTGCTGAGATAATCCATCCCACCTCACAGGTGTGCCACATCAAGATGCTGACCCGACATCATGAGTAGTGCACAGGTGTACCTTATACTGCCCACAATAAAAGGCCACCCTGGAATGTGCAGTTTTGTCTCACAGCAAAATGCCACAGATACCACCAGCCTTGAGGGAGCATGCAATTGGCATGCTGACAGCAGGAATGTCAACCAGATCTGTTGCTCATGCATTGAATGTTCATTTCTCCACCATAATGATACACTGTAGTGTAAAGCGCTTTGGAGTCCTTACTCTGACAGGCGCTATACAAGTGCGGGTCATTTATCATTTATCATAAGCCGTCTCCAAAGGCGTTTCAGAGAATATGGCAGTACATCCAACCGGCCTCACAACCGCAGATGACGTGTAACCACACCAGCCCAGGACCTCCACATCCAGCAGGTTCACCTCCAAGATGGTCTGAGACCAGCCACTCAGACAGCTGCTGAAACAATTGGTTTGCATAACCAAACAATTTCTGCACAAACTGTCAGAAACCGTCTCAGGGAAGCTCAACTGCATGCTCGTCGTCCTCATCGGGGTCTTGACCTGACTCCAGCTCGTCGCCGTAACAGACTTGGGTGGGCAAATGCTCACATTCGATGGCGTCTGGCACGTTGGAGAGGTGTTCTCTTCCACGGATGAATCTCGGTTTACATTGTTCAGGGCAGATGGCAGACAGCGTGTGTGGCGTCGTGTGGGTGAGCACTTTGCTGATGTCAGTGTTGTGGATGGAGTGGCCCATGGTGGTGGTGGGGTTATGGTATGGGCAGGCATCTGTTATGGACGAAGAACACAGGTGCATTTTATTGATGGCATTTTGAATGCACAGAGATACCGTGATGAGATCCTGAGGCCCATTGTTGTGCCGTACATCCATGAACATCACCGCATGCTTCAGCAAGATAATGCACGGCCCCGCGTTGCAAGGATCTGTACACAATTGTTGGAAGCTGAAAATGTCCCAGTTCTTGCATGGCCAGCATACTCACCGGACATGTCACCCGTTGAGCATGTTTGGGACGTGCTTGACCGGCGTATACGACAGCATGTACCATTTCCCACTAATATCCAACAACTTCGCACAGCCATTGAAGAGGAGTGGACCAACATTCCACAGGCCACCATTGACAATCTGATAAGCTCTATGTGAAGAAGATGTGTTGCACTGCATGAGGCAAATGGTGGTCACACCAGATACTGACCGGTTCTGAGTCCCCAGACCCCCAATAAAGCAAAAAACTGCACATTCCAGGGTGGCCTTTTATTGTGGGCAGTATAAGGTACACCTGTGCACTACTCATGATGTCGGGTCAGCATCTTGATGTGGCACACCTGTGAGGTGGGATGGATTATCTCAGCAGCAGAAGTGCTCACTATCACACATTTAGACTGATTTGTGAACAATGTTTGAGAGAAATGGTGATATTGTGTATCTGGAATGAATTTTAGATCTTTAAGTCCATCTCACGAAAAATGGGAGCAAAAACAAAAGTGTTGCGTTTATATTTTTGTTCAGTGTAGTTACAAATACTGTGTGTGTTCAAAAAAGCAGAACTCAACACAGTAACACAACCCGGAAGTTAAAAGCGAAACAAAAAGATTGCCCTCTAGTGGCTGGTTGCAGTATCTCTTTTAAACCCTGGCCCTTCATGTAAATGACGTTTTCCTCATTAAAAAATAGAAACATCCTTAAAGAATTATAAGAATGTGGCTCATTTTTAAAACCTTAACTTTCATAGTACATGTTGTAAGGTGAGCGTGTACTTCCTGTACTTTTCGTCTCCAACTGGTCGCCAGCAGTCACGGTTTGAAAACGACTTGAACGCCATAAATAGTAGCAAGTGTTGTGACGTTGTCACCTTGTTTTCCTGATTTAAAGCAGCACTCGGTGTCAGACCACCACAGGATGGAAGCGGACCATGGAATGAAATGAAGTGAAACTCGGCCATCGTTAGTACTACACACATCACGACACGTTATGAGAGTACTGAAACATTAGAGTTGTTATTTCATCACAGAACTAGTCGAACCGGGAGGAGGGTGGAGATCTGCTCCACCTGCCGGACATCATCGAAACAGAGCAATGGAGCAAAAACGTGAAGCCCTCTGATGATGCACTGCAACTGAATGGACACATTCATCAGCACGGCCACGCACGCCGACAACAGGCTGCAGAGAAGCCCATAAAGCACCGAACTGAAGATCCTCGCAGCAGCGAGAAGCGATCTGCAGGGCCTTTCTGCTGATCAGTCACTGTAGCTTAATGAGAGAATGCACTTATACTGGTGGGGTGCAGTTGTGCCGCGGCACTTTGCAAAATACGTCGCAGGGTCAAAAGTCGGCTTACGACGACTCTTCTACTCTCCTTGTGTGCTGCGTTCAGCTCACGCTGAGCTAAATGTGGCTAGCCATTTCTTAGCAAGCTAGCTAGCCAAGGCCTTCCAATCTTCAGAGTGGGGGGGTTAGAATTATTTTTGAGGCTTCAGCATCAGTCACTTGTCCAACACAATCAAAATAATCTGTTTTTACAACAAAATGTGTTTAGAAAAGCAAACAACACCTGACAGCGCAGCTGATTACAACCGACTTTGGATGTTTGGGTCTGAAATGAAAGAGATGCGTTCCTTCAGAGTAAATCCTTCTGGTGAATACTTGTGGCCCTGCAGGAAAAGTGCTTGGTAAATGCTATCCGTGATCATGGCACAGAGCGGAGACAACAGGCGAGACAGACGGAGGACGAGCGCCATGGGAGACGTCCTATGTGGCGATGTGGGCCGCGGAGGGGATGGAGACGAACTCACGCAGGATGTTCTTGGCCGTCTCCAGGTTGTTCTGGGCGATCATCAGAGCTTTCTGGATGTCCTGGATGGAGTAGCCTTGGGACATCAGGCACTCGATCTCCCCGTTCAAGGCCAGGCTTCCGGGACCGGCGGCACCAGCGAGATTGGGAGGAGGAGGGGGAGGGAGAGGAGGGGGAGAGGCAGAGGCGGGACCGGGCAGCTCGGGCAAGGGAGCGGAGAAGTCACGGTTGAAGGGTCGAGGCCGTCGGTCAGAGTTGGCTCGACGAGGGAGAGGTTTAGGGGGACGTTCAAGTTCAGCAATAGGTGTAAACGTACCTGAAACACACAGGTGACAGTAGACTGGTTATGAGTAAGCAACTCATGTGTTTTTGTGACCTGTAAGTTTGAAAAGAAAAACAAAACGTGCTGTTTTATGTGAAACTATGCAGTTTACTCAGGATTTGGTGGCTGTGCTGCATAAACAACGTCAGGAAATAACAGAAGGATTCCCCAGTTTGCAGAACAAGGGACACACGCTGCACAGAAATCTCACACCCTTACCAGTTTCTCCTGAACCATCCAGGCTGAGGTCAGCCAGGTTTCTTCTGAGCGGCGCGAGAGGGACGACCGGCCGAGGACAGTCGTACCCATAGATGTCCTCCATGTTGGCGTCTTCCTTATTCTCCTGGGAAACCACAGCTGACTGCTGGGGAAGCTCTGACAAACCAATCAACAACATTCATGAAGGAAAACACAGACACACACTCAAATTAAATGGCTTGGTTTCCTTATGATTGCATGCAGTATTAATAATAATGACCCAATTTTAAGTAACTGAAGCAATAATTATAATTACAGCAAGTCTTCGGTAGTAAAACTTGATTGCGTGAGGACGAATTACAACTACACAAAGTGACTTTTGGGCTAATCAGTTAGACTGACGCGTTTGTGCAGATAATTACACTCAAATGCCTTCGAGTAGGAGTGAGTGACAAATGTTTGTGATGCTGAGGTGAGGAAGGTTACCGAGGTCAGAAGCCTGCGTCGTCTCAGAGGAACCAGCCTGAGTCTGGATGTTAAACATGGACTCGTACACCTGAGGGTCTTCGGAGTCAGCGTCGCCCAGGTCGCTGCCAGGAAATAAAAACAGCTTTACAGTTTTGTGTGCAGCTCTGATGAATAAATGCGGCTCATTAAATACGTAGTGACTAGTTATGCATGAAAACAAGCTCAACTAAAATACTCAGTCTTGTCTTCCATCTCTCATGGAGAAATATGTATTTCTCTCATTGCAAAAGATTCTGATTCATCTAAGGAAAAAATGCCTTCATCATTTAAACAGAAAAGATCCCTGGGGCTTGGAGTTAAAATGATGCTCTAGCGCCCCCTGGTGGTCATAAGCTGTAAAACGATCTAGTTTCGGCTCTGACGACTGGAGGAACAGGTTTGCATTTGGCAACATTATTTCTATTTTGAGCTCTGCTAAGCTTTTGTTGTCCTGCACCAGCTTGTAATATATTTACTCTTTTCAAATAAATACAAACCCTTCAAGGGATCTGACTTTAAAGAGCAAGTCACCCCCTACCGGAGTCTAACTCCACTCCCACCTCATGTTAGAAAAATGCAACAAATGCTGTTGACGGCAGACCGAGAGGGCAGAGCCACTAACAAACACACACACACAGGCTCACAACAGCACTGTGACATCATAATGTACCAGCTAACGCTTGCTTCAGCACGGACAAATCTGCTACATCAGAGAAGAGCTTAACACAGCAGGACAGCTTGCCTCTGATTGGATAACAGCCACTGACTCGGTTTGCTCTGTGACATGGATGTTTTATCTCCACATATAGCACAAGCCTGGAGGAGCTTCTGCTGTGTGGTGAAGTTGCTAATGCTAACAGCTAACTTGCGCTAGCCCAGACGTTCTCTGCTGTTTCTGGACGCTAAACCAATGACTGGCTTCCCTGTCATGAGCCCAGATGGGAGAATTCAAGCTTTTTTAATCCTAGAGTTTCACCGTCTATTTTCTGTCAGAAGCTAATGCAGGAGACAGGTGTAGGAGACTATTTTCACATTCAGCCTGCATGAAACACTCAGTGACTGATTATAATTAGGAATAATAATTAAACCTGGTTTTTCGGTGAACTAAAAGGTAAATCTGGTGGTTATTCTGATTATGGAACAACAGTCTACTATGAGGAATAATTGATTATGGTCATAAAATAGCCTTTAGACATGAAAGAACAAAATATGTTAATTAGGGCATTCTGAATGCAGCGCAAACCAGATACTTGAATGAAAGCGGGCATACAGTTCCTCGTGTAAAGTTTGTGTCCGTCGGTATATTTAATACGATTATATTTGACTTTTTACAGCTAAAGAAAACACATAACACATATTTCCTGTTTTACTCCTCAGTTGTATATTTATTGCAAAACCCTGTCATGAATTAGTGAAACATTGTGTTTAAATGCAGTTCTGACTCCGCCCCAATCTCACCCGTTTACCTGAGGTCGCTGTGGCTGTTTGTCTGGGCTGGTGGGGGGGGGACCAAAGAGCCCGTTATGACCCAGGGGGAGCTGGAGACCGGGAGGGAGGTGGGACTCATGTAGTCATTCTCCTCAGAGTCTGATGAAAGCTTTTCTCCACTCGACACCAGAGAAGGCGGGAGAGACCTGAACAAAAAACCCAAAATGGAGCTAAAAGTGGAGACTTATACAGCAAACAGCCCAACTAAAGTCATTTTGTGTATAATTGGCATAAAAAAGCCTCATGCTTGTTTGAGGAGTCGGTCATAGAAATCTAAATGAGTCAGAAGTCTGACGCTTTGCAGATCGCTGGTCCAGCGGCGCTCCTACCTTGCAGCCAGGCAGTACACAGCATTGGTGGCCACTTGGGGTTTGGCTGCCTCCCCGTTGGTGGAGCTCTGAGGGATGGAGGACAGCGCAGACGGGGCCTTTGTTGCAGGACGTGGCACCATGTAGTTGGCAGCCCAGGCAGGCTGGTCGGGGGTGGAGGGCAGAGGTCTCCTCTGGAATCTGGAGTCCGGGCCTGTGAGGGAGGGCCGCTCGGGAGGGGGAGGAGGGGGCAGCTCTCTTAGGCCAGGGGGAGGTGGGAGGGGCTTGTCTCGGTGAGTGGCAGCAATCTGGGAAGTGTAAACAACACTTCCTGTTTACTTAAACCCCAAAAGGGCCAGGTTTAAACACGGCTGCAGCAGAAAAAGGGGGAAAAGCTTCACGTTTAAAACGATATGCATGAAATAAAAACATGACCTACAAGTTAATACAAATATAAAAAGAAGCAGTGGAAAATCCCACCTGCTGCTCGTGTCAACTAAACATTTGAATGTCGTAGAGGTTTTTTTCTTGCTTTGCATGCCAGGATAAAAAAAGACTGTGAGGCTGAACATGGTTTCTATTAAAATGATAGGTTTACAGACACAAGGCTCAAAGTATCAGAGAAACCAGATGAATGGAATAGAAGTGCAGAAATCAGTAATCAGCAGAAAGGTGAACAGTTCACTGGTGCTAGCTCGTATCTGGCTGAACAATAAGAGTCTGGGTTTGTGTTTGATTGCTGAATCAACCGTGTCTGGTTAATAATCATCAAAACTTTACAGAATATAAAAAACGTGGGACAGGGTCCACAAATTCTCACTTGTGCCGACATGTTTCTGAGCTCACGGTGGTTTCAGGACTTCCTGCAGTCAAATCATGTGGGTGCTTTTGGTTTTGCATTTCCTTGTTCAAACAGTAACATAAAGACTGAGACGTGTTTGCACAAACTGCTGCCGGGCAAGTCCACCCATGTGAGTTTTACAGCCGACTGAATAAAGAACATGATTTTTTTAAGTCCAGTCACCTTGACCGAGGCTCCCTGACTTAGAGCGGGATGTGAGCCGGAGGATCTCTGCTGCAGGAGGTCCAGTCGTGGAGGCACCGGAGGCAGCTGAGACACGGGAGAAGCTGGACGCTCAACCTGCAAAAGCATGATTACATTTAAAGCTGCTGCCTGCTCAAACAAGACCGTTAAGCACACGCTGACCTCACCTTAATGCAGGTCAGCCCGCTCATGACCAGATGCTGATCCTCCAGCCGATCGTCCTCCTCCTCCTCGTTTCCGGCTGCTTCTGCTCTGCTGGACCCCTGCAGACCAGCAAAGGAAGCCCCGCTGGCCTTGGGGTGGAAGGGGTCCACCACGATGGGCTCCGTGCCTTTAATCTCACAGCGACAGAACGGGCAGCCCTGACCCTCGGACTCCTTCATTCACACACACAGAAAGGTGGTGCTGGTTACGTTTCCATTCCTCTAAAGGAAAGGAAAGCCGGCAGAACTTCTACTCACAGGGAAACATCAAGATAAGCCAGAATAATACAGATTTTTAAATAGCTACATTACGAACAGTAAATAATCTTTCTTGTTTATCCTGTGAACACACACGGAGTAGGTGGCTCTTGTATTTTCAGTCAAATAAAAAGCAGGAAGTTCTTGAGTTTCAGTTGTAATAAAATTAGAAACGCTGAGGAACCATTTTATACCCGAACCAAAATTTAATCTATAATAAACAATAAAAAACAGGAAAGCTTCTATAAAAGCCACACAGGAACCTGAAGGGTTATTTCGAAGCCTTTAAGCTTTACTTGTCTTAGCAACCGACTGTGGAGAACCTGTGCTGCTAGTTCTGCTTGATCTCACTGCTGCCTTTGACTCACTGGACCATGAAGTGCTGCTCCATCGTCTTCAACACCATGTTGGGATTTCAGGATTAGCCTTAGAGAGTGGTTCAGATCGTATCTGGCCAATAGGATGTGTACAAGAATGGGCAGTTTTTCTTCAAAATATTCTCATTTACCATGGGGGGTACCGCAGGGCTTGATATTAGGGCCAATACTGTTCTTCATTTACTTCCTACCATTAGGTGATATCTTAGGTTTTCATCTTTATGCTGATGATTGCCAGTTGGGGATCTCTCCATTACCAACCTTATGGAATGTTTGGCTGAGATTAAGGCATGGTTGACTGGAAACTTCCTGTGCTTAAATGAACAGAAGCAATACTGTTTGCACCCAGTGGTCATATGGATACCACCGACATTGACTGTGTGTTGTTCAATGGCCAGCTGAGTACATCAGCAGCAAATCTAGGTGTGAAACTTGATAATGCCCTTTGTTTTAACACCCGCATTAGCAGAGTGGTCTCCTCCTCCTTTTAAAAAACCTTTATCGCCAAACCCTTCCCATCAGATATGACCTTGGTTTTATCACAGTAGGCTTGAATTAGTGTAATTCATTCTTATTCGGAGGGAGCCAGGTTTCGTTAGCAAGATTGCAGCTGGAACAGAACGCTGCTGCCAGATTTTTAGAAGGCAAGTGTAAACACGACCATATTATTCTTGTATTGCCAGCCCTGCATTGGTTTCCCGTTGAAGAAAGGATTTGTTTTAATATTCTTTTATTGGTTTTTAAAACATCGAAGGGTCTGACGCCACTTTACCTAGTGTCACTGCTTCACCCGTATGCTCCAGCTCGGTCACTCTGTTCGGAGAATCTCTTGCTACTCTTGGTCCCAAGGTCACGCCTGAAAACGAGAGGCGATAGGGCTTTTGCCGCAGTTGGCCCGAAGCTCTGGAACGAGTTTCCACTTAGCATAAGAGCCTCTTTATCTGTGGAGGTTTTTTAAACTAGGCTGAAAACCCATTTTTATGATCTAGCTTTTAATTTTTAGCTAATTGTATTATTATACAATGATTTTATCGTAATTTTTGTGTTTTATTCCTGTCTTATTTGATTCCTATGTTCTATTGCTGTGAAGCGCTTTGGTGGCATGTATTGTGTCTGTAAAGCGCTGTACAAATAAAGTGTGTTGAGTTTAGAAGTCAAATAAACAAATATTTACCAAAGTTTTTGGTAATTTAAAGGACAAATATAAACATTTAAAGAAAAACAAAAAAACACATTCAATATTTATAGCAGGAAGTAAAATTAAAGCTACAAGCAGCGTTGTTCGGCCCTCGCAGCTCCGCGCCACTCCGGCCTGGCCGGCAGCCCGGGGCACCCAGGCTGGTCCGCGGAACGGAAACGTCGACCACCCCGACACCAGAAACCACGAACGGTCTCCTCATCCGCACCTCACCCTGACTCAGCATGTCCTCTGAGCCCATCACTAAATTACACATGTCACCACTAGGGGATACTCTGTCTTTACCACACTGGTTGTGTGATGACACAGACCAAGTTTAATGTTATTCTGCCCACGTTTTTTGAAGTTATTGAAGGTTTAAGTTATCTAGGGGGTGTTGTGACCAATTACATAAAAATCCCATTGAGGTCCTCTTAGGGAGTCAAGGGTGGTTTTGTGGTAGTTTGGCATCAATCAGACGTTGCGTGTGCTTTCTAGAGCAAGAGAGCTGAAAGGGGCGGAGCTAAAGGGATTTGAACCGACAACCACATCAATGTGTTTAGTGCAGTCACGTGATGACACAAGCCAAGTATAATACCACTCTGACCTTGTTTTTAGAATAAAGTTTGAACCCATCTAGGGGGCGCTGTGACCATTTACAACTAAATCCCATAGAGGTCATCTTTGGTCATCAAAGATGGTTTTCTGTTAATTTGGCATCAATCAAACGTTGCATGGGTCATCTAGAGCCAAAAGGCTGTAAGTGGGCGGAGTTAAAGTGATTTGAACGGGTGAGCACATGCATGTGTTGATTGCAGTTGTGTGATGACCCCCACCATGTTTGATATAGTTTGGAGCTTTTTTGCAGAAGGTTTTATTGTATCTAGGGGGCGCTGTCCCAAATTTAGGAAATATTCCATGAAGAAGTTTGTAGGTTGACAACAGTCATTTGTGTGCAGTTTGGTGTGAATTGCATCATGCATGTGTTATCCAGGGCCTAATATCTGTCAGGGGGCGGAGCTAAAGCGATATCAACCAATGACCACAGGATTGTGTTGGGTGCCTTTGTGTGATGACACATAGCAAGTTTGGTGCAGTTGTGACCTCGTCTGTACGAGTTTTTACAGTTTTAAAGGAATGTAGGGGCGCTGTGGTGATATTATACAACGTTCACCAACCGTTTGTGCCTCATTGGCTAAAGGGCGTGATTGTTGATTGTCATGTTCAGTCTCGTGAAGATCGGAGGCTGTTTGTGGAAGTTACAGTCAAACGTAAGGTCACGGCGTCAAGCCAGAATTCGCCATGGCATCAAAGCCCCTCCCTTTCTAGAAAGCTATCAGATCTGAATGGTCATTACAACATCATGAAGACAGTGCATGACCTTAGTGTCATGTTGACTAAAATAGAGGGTACAAATATGGACATTTCACCATAACACAATAGACTTCCTGTTGTCAGAGGCGGGGCTTAGGTGATGTCAGCTGTCCACATTGTCATTGTCTTGAGATGTGGTCAGTGATCACACAGATAAAGTTTGATATGGATCTGATCATGCACATGGGAGTTATTACGTCAATGAATGTAATGGCGACAGGTCAAAGTTTGAGGCTTAGCCACGCCCACACCTTTTGAAAAATCCTACAGTTGAATTTTTTCCCCTACATCTTAAGAGTATATAGCAAATTTATAGCTATTAGACAGTGATTGGTGGTGATTGGGTGAAAGGAGTCCAATAGGGAGCTGTGAAAAAAAGTGGCGTGGCGACAGGTCAAAGTTTGAGGCTTAGCCACGCCCACACCTTTCAACTTTTGAAAAATCCGACAGTTGAATTTTTCCCCCTATGTCTTAAGAGTATATAGCAGAAGTTTGAAGGTAATCGGTGAAAAGGGCGACGGGGCATCGATTCTCCAAACAACGTGTGCGAAAACCACTAAATTGAGTACTTGGACCAAAATGGCCGACCTCCTGTGCGACTTGCGCTTGGCTCCAAGAGACTTTTTTGTAGGTCCTGAGACACCACATTAGTGTACCAAATGTTGTAATCCTCAGTCAAAGCCTGGCTTGGGGCTGACAGTTTTAATGGTCCTAGGGGGCGCTATTTAAGAAAATAAGCCACGCCCACTGGATTTTCACATCAGATTTTTTGGGGGGCCGGACTAGGATCACTCACCAGAAGTTTCGTGGCGATATCTTTAGAAATGCCAAAATGGGAGGCAAATGTATGGCCACGGCGGTATGCCTGACTTTGCCGTGCCACCACAGCCCCGCCCTCTTTTGAAAACTCCCATAAAGTGACGCCAAGCAACACCCACTTGTCTTGAGTTACCAGCTACAAATTTGTGGTGATTAAGTGAAATGGGGCGATTTGGAACCTATCACAATAAAACTTGATCTTTTTGGTCCTGAGGGGGCGAGGCTTGTGTGATGTCATCATCTGACCATTCAATTTACTTTGTGGGTGGATGACGAATGACCACAGACATTTTTGTAACTTTACTCTATTAGGGTATGAAGTTATAGACATTTATATATATATATTTTCAAGTAGTCGAACTTCGAGGCCTGGCCACGCCCCCTCAGCATGGCCACGCCCCCTCAGCATATACGAAAAGTCTGTTTTATTTCTTCTATTTGATCGCCCTTTCCTTCTGAGCAATTTCCCACAACTTTTGAGACGATCGTGCAAAAAATGATCGAGTAAATCAATCAGAAGCGGACCGTAGAAACGGCCAAAACGGGGTCAGAATCACCACTTCAAACCAAAATGGCCGACTTCTTGTTTGATGACCATAGTTGAAAGAGGCTTTTCTGTGCGGACTGTTGAGTACTACAAGTGTACAAAATTTCATAACTGTACGACGAACTAAGGTTTATGGAGGGGGGTATTTTTCACATTCTAGGGGGCGCTGTGGAGCTAGTTTAATTGCAATTTTTTTGTGACCTTTAAAATACAAAAGTTTACACCACGCCTGACAAGTGTGCAAAAATTCCTGAGTTTTCGGGTATGTTAAGGCCTCCAAAATGCCAATTTACTTGGCGGAAGAAATATAAACAGAGCAGATACAATAGGCCTTGGCCGTGCTTTCGCTGCTCGGGCCTAATAAAAGCACCTGTCCTTGTGGCTGGTATCATCTCTAAAGTGGTTGATAACGGTGTAAAAAAGGTGACCAGGGTGAAGTTCATAATCTCACCTGCCAGGCGGTCAGGCAGGAAGTGCACATCAGATGTCTGCAGGGCTCGATCTTCACGTCTTTATCATTCTCTGCACAGATCTTACAAAGCTGGAAGGTGGAGCCCATCTCACAGTACAGCTCATACTGCTCCTGCAGGACCAACACCAAGCGCTTTACTCGTTATTCATCATCCTGATTTAACCGGTTCTACACATTAGGAAAACTTTCTGTTTCTGTTTGGTAGCACAATAAAAACACCTCCTTTATCTTTATAGTGTGTTAAATACTGAGCTGTACTTTAGACTGAATCTTCCAGCAGATGAGAACCAAACCAACCTGAGTAACTTTGATGTGGTCCTGTGGAGAAGGTTCACACAGACCTGTCAGGTCTGGGTTTTGTGCTCGGCCGTCTGGGAAAAGATAGCTAGAAAAACCACCACAGGTGTAATCAAAAGGTCATCTGCAAACATGTTTCACACTAAAGAGGCGGGTTCTAGAGACGAGGCTGCTCGGAGTTGTAGATAGAAATGTGCTCGTTAATGGGCCCTTCTGGAAGCTGTGAGCCTAACTTCCTCCATGATTCTTCTAACGGAGGTCAAGCTGATTGACGTCTACGGCAGGTGAAATGCTCATATGTACTAAATAAACACACATAAAAAAACATTCAACCAGAACATCTAATCTAGTCATCTTCTTCACCACTTCCTTCAAATTCACTCGTAAAAACAGGCCAAAACAGCAAAGTTTCAAAACGTCTTCATGTTAGTGGTTTTACTGCCGGAACAACAATTTGGGAGTCAAATACTTTAAAATAGTCTAAAAGAAGGAAAAATGCAACAACATTCAAAAATGAAACGGGTAAAAATGTCTGAACTATGACACAAACGTTTGCACATCACACCATGTGAACTCAGCGGTTTGTATCAGTGTTCCAAGTGCTAAAACCTGTGATTGCAACTGAAAATGCACATTTATGTGCAACAAAAATAAATAAATAAATAAACTTTCATATTTATTAATACTGAATAGATACAATCCAAACTTGTTTAGTCGATTTTAAAAATGTTTAAAGAATAATTAGAAGTTATTTAATGTGAATACATTAATTTTTTTGTTTATTTAAAATGATTACTAAATAAATGTGTTGCCTGGACACACATCCTCTTACTGGGGCATTTCAGGAGGAAGTGGTGCGCTGTGTTTCAGTCTAGTGAAAGACAAAATAAGAAAAGCTCTGTTCTAAATCTAAAACGGTGCAAAACAACGATGAAATATAAAGAAGCTTAATTGTATGGTTTAATAATAAAAACACAAGTCATAGCGTGTTTAACTGCAGCAAACACCAGAAAACTAATTAGTGAAATGTGATTTGTGGTGAATGAATCATGTGACGGCTCCTTTAGGAGCAAAAACGAAGCTGAAATGTTCCGTCCACTGACCAGAGTGACAGAATCGTGCTGTTGATCCAGACTAATAGAAAACCGTTCATATGTAATCTAAACCCTCAGTGAGTAAAAGTGCAGCAAACGTCAGATCTAATCCCAAAAATTCTACAAGACATTAAGACATTTGACTGAATCTAAACCAATCAGTGGGTTTAGAGATGAAATGTCACCTAAAAGATAACTAAGGTAAACTACACAACAGGAGTAGTATCTCAGACTCTTGCTGTCATAGAGTCATTGTGGTTTGACACAGAAAAACTCCTAAAACAAATCCAGGTAAATCGATAATATTGTGATATGTGACTTACAATCCTTCTCTATATCCATCAATAAGGGCTTGGAAGAGGGGTTTGTTGTGAGGGATGGTCTGCAGGATGTTCCCATCAGCCGTCACGTAGCCGATAGCCCACTGACCCAGTCGAGTGCAGCTCAGCCTGAAGATGTAGCTGAAAAAAAGATGAGAATTTAAAATCCTAAAACATGGAAATTTTAGGTTCCCTTCCACATTCTCAAACCCCTCGCTGGGGTCGTACCTGCCAGGTTTGTGGATGAATCTCTGCAGCCGAGCCTTGACCTCGTCGTAGGTGAGGAACGCCATGTAACCAGGATGCGTGACCGCCAGACTGTTCCAGTTCCTTAAAAGAGACGACCACGGCTGCACCAACACAAAGAAACACACTGGTAGTTACAGACGTGTTTCACTTATGATTGGTTTTCTTCCAAAGTGGATCTGGAACCAATCACCGCTGAAACTAACTCTTTCCTTTCTGAACTAAACACATTCTATTGAAAACATCAAACGTTTAAGTAGAAAAACCCTCAATACCACTCTTGCACTTAAAACCTGAAAACTGCCACATTTTCGTTGTACCCTTGACTAAATCAGCCTTCAGACACGTTTAGAACAGTCTGAAGTTAGGACCATCACCTGGAAGAGTCTAGTGAAGATGTCAAACTCAAAAACAGAGATGTAGTCGTTGCAGGTGAGGTCGATGGTGGATTTAAGCGCCATGGCCTCCAAGCCTGAACTGATGGGGTGAAATTCATGGAGAGCCTGGCGAAACATCCTCCAGGGCACAATGGTTCTGCAAGACAAAAGGATGACAGCGAGAAAACGTTTTTACAAGACTAGATGAACGTATGTTGGCCTGAAACAGGCCATCCTGCTGTAGGCTCTGGTATAAATAAATGCCTTGTGAGTGGTTTTCTGTGTAGCAAAAGCTCTGGTGCTCCTGTTTGAGGAAGTAGAAGTTAGCAGGAGCAGCGGGGAGTAAAAAAAAGAAGCAGGATTTGAAATCTTACTCATTATTATTCATGAATGCAAACATCGCCTCTGACTGACAACAACACAACTTTTCTGCTGCCTTTCTTTGCTCCTCTTCTTGGGTGAACAATGCAACATTGATGGGTTACCTCAACAAATGTCACAAGCCTGAACGTGTTCCACTATGCTGAGGAATTGCTGATGCTAATCGTTAGCTTCTACTAGCCGAGACATGCGCTTTCTCCAACCCATCCCACATTTGTGAATATTTAGTCCTGCCAAAGACAGATCCAAGTGGTGGGGGCGGAAACTAGGGTTGTCTTTTAAACTGTCTGCTCGTGTGCTGTTGAAGAGGACGCAAATATATCCATTTTCTAATTTCTAGATAATAACTTAAGTTTTCTATCTGCTTTTGACTCAAACAAAAGCCCAAGTCTAAATAGTCCAGAGTTGATGCCAAAGCCATTTCAAACGAGCAGTCGCCATCTTTTTTTTTTCGCATCATCTTGCCCTCTAAACAGATAGAGCGCTGTGATTGGCCCTCTAAACAGATAGAGCGCTGTGATTGGCCCTCTAAACAGATAGAGCGTTGTGATCGGCCCTCTAAACAGATAGAGCGTTGTGATTGGCCCTCTAAACAGATAGAGCGTTGTGATCGGCCCTCTAAACAGATAGAGCGTTGTGATTGGCCCTCTAAACAGATAGAGCGTTGTGATTGGCCCTCTAAACAGGTAGAGCGCTGTGATTGGCCCTCTAAACAGATAGAGCGCTGTGATCGGCCCTCTAAACAGATAGAGCGTTGTGATTGGCCCTCTAAACAGGTAGAGCGCTGTGATTGGCCCTCTAAACAGATAGAGCGCTGTGATCGGCCCTCTAAACAGATAGAGCGTTGTGATTGGCCCTCTAAACAGATAGAGCGTTGTGATCGGCCCTCTAAACAGATAGAGCGCTGTGATTGGCCCTCTAAACAGATAGAGCGCTGTGATCGGCCCTCTAAACAGATAGAGCGCTGTGATTGGCCCTCTAAACAGATAGAGCGTTGTGATTGGCCCTCTAAACAGGTAGAGCGTTGTGATTGGCCCTCTAAACAGATAGAGCGTTGTGATTGGCCCTCTAAACAGATAGAGCGCTGTGATCGGCCCTCTAAACAGATAGAGCGCTGTGATTGGCCCTCTAAACAGATAGAGCGCTGTGATTGGCCCTCTAAACAGATAGAGCGCTGTGATTGGCCCTCTAAACAGATAGAGCGCTGTGATTGGCCCTCTAAACAGATAGAGCGTTGTGATTGGCCCTCTAAACAGATAGAGCGCTGTGATTGGCCCTCTAAACAGATAGAGCGCTGTGATCGGCCCTCTAAACAGAGCGTTGTGATTGGCCCTCTAAACAGATAGAGCGTTGTGATTGGCCCTCTAAACAGATAGAGCGTTGTGATTGGCCCTCTAAACAGATAGAGCGTTGTGATCGGCCCTCTAAACAGATAGAGCGTTGTGATTGGCCCTCTAAACAGATAGAGCGTTGTGATTGGCCCTCTAAACAGATAGAGCGTTGTGATCGGCCCTCTAAACAGATAGAGCGTTGTGATTGGCCCTCTAAACAGGTAGAGCGCTGTGATTGGCCCTCTAAACAGAGAGCGTTGTGATTGGCCCTCTAAACAGATAGAGCGTTGTGATTGGCCCTCTAAACAGGTAGAGCGTTGTGATTGGCCCTCTAAACAGATAGAGCGTTGTGATTGGCCCTCTAAAGAGCGCTGTGATTGGCCCTCTAAACAGATAGAGCGTTGTGATTGGCCCTCTAAACAGATAGAGCGTTGTGATTGGCCCTCTAAACAGATAGAGCGTTGTGATTGGCCCTCTAAACAGATAGAGCGCTGTGATTGGCCCTCTAAACAGATAGAGCGTTGTGATTGGCCCTCTAAAGAGCGCTGTGATTGGCCCTCTAAACAGATAGAGCGTTGTGATTGGCCCTCTAAACAGATAGAGCGTTGTGATTGGCCCTCTAAACAGATAGAGCGCTGTGATTGGCCCTCTAAACAGATAGAGCGTTGTGATTGGCCCTCTAAAGAGCGCTGTGATTGGCCCTCTAAACAGATAGAGCGTTGTGATTGGCCCTCTAAACAGATAGAGCGTTGTGATTGGCCCTCTAAACAGATAGAGCGTTGTGATTGGCCCTCTAAACAGATAGAGCGTTGTGATTGGCCCTCTAAACAGATAGAGCGTTGTGATTGGCCCTCTAAACAGATAGAGCGCTGTGATTGGCCCTCTAAACAGATAGAGCGTTGTGATTGGCCCTCTAAAGAGCGCTGTGATTGGCCCTCTAAACCGATGTGACTGGCTAGACACAAGACTGCTTTGGACCTGCTGAGGCTCTAATGGAGCGTGGCTAGACCGACCTACGGAGCAAAATCCTTCTGCTTCTGCTACGGTCTGTCCACATTTCTAGGCTAGAATCCGGATTTTTCAGACCAGATTGTTTTCCTTTCTGCAGCTGATGAGGGTTGAAAGAAAATGTTCCCGTTCAGCATGCATGTGAAACTCAGAATGACTAAAAATAACTATTACACAATTTCTGAGTGAACCAGACCTATAATGTGCACTCTTGTTACTTTTCAACAGCAGAAACTCACTTGTCTCCAAACGAGCGTCTCCAGAATTCGGCTGCATCAGCTTTGGTGATCCTGAAGTTGTCGCCCTGAAAGAGGCCGTTGGGGAAGATGGCTTTGAGCTCTGCTAACATGTGACTGAAGATCAGAGACAGCTTTGTGAGGTTACGCCTGAAAGACACACACACACACACACACACACACACACACACACACACACACACACACACACACACACACACACACACACACACACACACACACACACAGACACACACACACACAGACACACAGACACACACACACACACACACACACACACACACACACACACACACACACACACACACACACACACACACACACACACACACACACACACACACACACACACACACACACACACACACACACACACACACACACACACACACACACACACACACACACACACACACACACACACACACACACACACACACACACACACACACAGAAAACAAAAGACAGTGACAGGTTAGTTTGAGATGCATCAAAGACCCAAGCTGACCGTTTTGGCCCTTCATTCATGATTTCATGAAGTTATTCCCTCTGATGTGTTTTAGAAGTACATCATCTCAGAGCACGTGAGGTCATGTGGTGTGAGGCTCTCCACACAACATCAGTTCACTCTCACTGAAAAACCTTTAGTTATATGTTTGCAGAGCATCTATGAGGAAGCGATTGATCAAAGTCAGCGTCAGAGGAAGGGAGATGCGATTCTTGGTAAACAGCTTTCTGAGAAACAGGAAGTAGAAGGGACTGTGACAAAAGAATCACAATCTTATCTTAGTTGTTTACTTTATTAAAGGTTTTTTTTTCAAAAGAACTGATTAAAAACTGTCGCTTTTCTGTTCTGATTTCTGGAAAACTTCTTTATTTGCTAAAACTTTTCACCAGCTTTAAACCAGTTCTGCAAAGAGACTCGGGTGAAAGTCACATTTCCAAACGGAGATGATTAAACCTCAGGGTCGTAAGCAGCAGGCTGTTGATGATTTAATCGTAGTTTAAAACATATCTGATAGGTTGCCAAGACAAACAGAAATCAGCTCAGAATCATTCGTGTATCCAAACATTCCCGAGGCTGTTTCCTGATGGAATGGTTGATCCAGGTTTATCAGCTAGTGAGCCTTTTACCTGGGCTGGGAGTTCTCCTCGTACATCCTCTCTTTGGCCTCCTTAAAAAGGCTCATGGTCTGCTTAGTCTTGTTGGTCAGGTTGTCGATAACCACGCGGAAATACTCGTTTTCCCCCAGAATTTCTATTTTGCCCTCGTATCTGGACAAGATGGTGCGTAAGTGCTGGTAGGTGTCCGGCAGCAGGTCGAGGATGTAGGGGGGGCTGTTCTTCAGCGCCACCTTGGGGTTCTGGCACAAACGCACCACCTGCAGGGGGAACACAGGAGTTCAGGGACTCTTGTAGGACACAAAACCTTAACAAATTCATAAAGCATCCATTAGGTTTA